ACAGTGGGAAGGCTGGGGAAGGTTGGGCGGCGGGAAGGGGGGTTAGAGATCAACCGAAGGACTTGTATGCATGCTTATAAGCATAACCAATGGACACAAGACACTGAGGGGTAGGGGAGGCCGGGGGAATGTCAAGGGGGGAAAAAAAGGAGACATATGTAATACTCTTTGTAATACTTTAAGCAATAAAACAATATAAAAAATGAAAAATTCAGCACATTATAGGAATACCATATAATTCACAAGGACAGGCAATTATAGAACGCCAACATCAAAGGTTAAAATCCCAACTTGAAAAACAGTAAGGAAGGATTATGGAGAAATCATCTGTAGGTAGACTACACCAAGCCTTAATTACTTTAAATTTTTTCACTTGTGATGCCGATGGCAAGACACTCATGGAAATACATTGGTGTCAGAATAAGCCAAAGGAAAATGGACTGGTTAAATGGAAAGATCCCGAGTCTGCTTTATGGAACGGCCCCGATCCCCTGTTAACATTTGGTCAAGGGTACACTTGTATATTTCCAGAAAATTTCTTGAAGCCCACGTGGATTCCCACAAGAAATATTAAACTTCAACATGGATCCAAGGGAGGAACTGGCCAGGTTAATGAGGACCTTGCACCTGGAGCCATGCCTTACAGCTGCAGACAATCAACTACCCCAGCCGCAGATAGCAGCAGGCCCAAGCAACTCACTGAAGATAAGGAGTGGGAGGAGGACGAAGCAGATGACAAACAGCCCGGAGGTCACCTGGGGGATGGTGAAGAAGACTGTCCAGAAAGCTGAGCGAATTTGTAAGGAGACCCAAACCCCAAGAATGCTTGAGAATGTCTTTCTTACCCTGCTAGCAGTCATCAGCTGTACAATAATACTACCAGGGGCAAATGGGAAAATATTTTGGACTTATGTTCTTGACCCACCATGGGTAAGACCCCTACGTGGGCTGACCCCCTGCCTAATGTAGTCACCAATAATACCAAGCACCTTGGTCACCCAGGAGGACCATCGGTGGGACAAGGAAGTATATGGGCAAAGTATAGTTACACGGGTGTTGCCTTTTGTATGACACAGAATCAAACCACTGTTCCTTTGTGTATAAAATTAAAGAGAGGCTTCTGGCTAGCATGGACACCAAAGGAGAGGGAAGCAAATGCCCAAATATATCTACTATCACTACTTACTCTGGGGAGAGGTACAGAAAATGTAACTTTACTAAGACACCCCCCCCCCACCACCACCACTAAGCCATTATGTAAAAAGTCTTATGAATGGCACCCCACTGAGGGAGAAATTAATTGGCAAGACTGTTATAGTGACTACCCCACCAGCAGCAAACTTAATAACAGTTTTTCCTTTGTGGATTGGAGCCGTATGGGTCTACGTATAGTAACAATAGCATCCTAAAATGAAAGGGGAATGCTTCCTATCTATATGTTGCAGCTAATCACTCCATTTCATGGCATGGAGAAGGATTTGTTGGATCTCAATTACAACATGACAATTGGCCCCAACAAAATACGCAATGGAAACTAGCTGCTGCACTTGCACCTATTAAATGATACAGTTTTAATTATAGCTCAGATAATTCCATTTGTACCTTATGGGGAACTCCCAATAAGACAGTATTTGCCACCACTTGTATATTTGATCCATTTGTACTCCTCTCAGGCCCCATCCAGGTGACCCTTAATGCTACAAGCCATCTGTATGAGGTGTCATGCACAGGCTGCACATTATCCCATTGTATTAATTCTACATTCCTAAAAGATTCCCTCATGCTTTTAAAACAATCTGCTTTCGCTTGGGTTCCTACTAACTTAACCGAGCCTTGGGAATCTCATCAAACCTACCAACCGTTACATGATCTGGTAAAAATCTTAAAACGACAAAAAAGATTTCTTGGAATGTTAATTGCAGGACTCTTTGCCCTTATAATGTTACCTACTTCTGTGGGCATTGCTGCTTCATCCATGGTACAAACTGTTCAAACTTCTCAGTTTGTACAAGTTAAGGAAAAATGTAACTAAGACCTTGTCTATACAAAAAGGAATTGACAGCCAGTTTGAGATAGAATTTTCAGCACTAATGTCTACAGTCTTGTGGATGGGTGATAAAATCCACAGCTTAGAGCAAAGAATATCTTTACAGTGTCGTTATAATTTTTCCCAGATTTGTGTTACCCCAGTTCCCTATAATAGTACCTTACACCCTTGGGAATCAATAAAAAAAATCACCTTCTTGGTGCTTGGGGTGAAGGTAACACAACCCTTGATATTTAGAATTACAACAGCATATTGTACAATTATCCCAGGCAAATTTACAAACTAATTCCTTGGATGCCTGGTAGCAATTTAAAAAGGACATGAAAGAATTTAATCCCTTCCACTGGATCTCCTTACATTTGCTTGTCTCATTGTTTTTCTTATATGTTTATTTCTAGTCTGCAGAGGCAGAATAAAGAGTCTTAAAAGGACTAAAACCCTTCAGGTGGCATTCACTTTTCAAGATTTATTAAGGAAGTGAAAAGGGGGCAATGTTGGATGCTACCCATTGTTTTAACTATCAGAAAAGTGTAAACAAGGAGCCCAGAATGCTGGTGAACCTTGAGCTCTAGCAAGGGCCAAAACTATGCACCGATTGTTTAGACGAGACAATGGTGGCTCAAGCAATTTCCTGACCAAATAGTCTCAAAGTCAATCTTTACTCATATTTACTGACCTTTAAGACAGTCTGTCTGTTACCGGAATTGCCTACCTGACCAAGGGCAATATGTGTATCTAAAATTGAGTAAAAGGTTGGCAGGGTCTGGGCATAAGCAAAGTCCTTCCCCTAGAGTTGGACTCTCCGCCTGCCGCCCCCCCCCCCCCCCCAAGTTTCCAAATTATTATTTCTTGTCTCATCTCGTCATTTGCCCGTGGCCCTTCCCGAACCCTAAGCCACGCGGAACATGGCATCTCATAAACATCAATGAATGAATTCAACGAATGTTTTTAATCTATGGCTTGTACATTTACTACAGCAGGAGGCACTCAGGAGGTATGTTAGGAAGAATATTAGAATGCATCACCAAAGTAAATAATGAAAGATAATGCTTATGTGGCTCCTTTCCTAACTGGTCTGAGTGCTGAATGGGAAGAGAAAAGATCAATTGGCTCTCAAGTTTCTTTACACCTGTGATTCCAGAACAGTTTGACATGATAGTGGGCAGCCAGGTATCACTCAGACACTACCAACTATCCTATTTAATAAAAGAGAAACATGGTAATTAGCGTACAACTGCTACCCTTCCCATTGGCTAATCAGGGTGATATGCAAATTAACTGCCAGCCAAGATGGTGGCCGGCAGCCAGGCAGATTGAAGTGAACATGAGGCTTGCTTGCTTCAGTGATGGAGGACTCCAACGTTCCCCGCCTGCTGCTGCCGGCCTCTGAGCTGCAACTATGTAACAAATATAGAAGCTAAACAAAACCCCAGAAACCT